ATTCTATGCCTCCATCAGAAAGAATGACATTTCCCCATTTGTTAGGAAATGGAAAGACTTGGAAAAATTATATTAAGTGTAGTAAGTCAAGCCCAAAGTAACATAGGTCCCATGGTTTCTCTTATTTCCAATATCTAGTATATGTATGAGTCAAGCGGAAAAAGTCAGATAATGTGATGTTAGGAAAATGAACCCTTAGATATGTATTTAAATGTTTTTTTCTTTCATGCATTTGTTTCTAACTCAAGTATAAGATTATTTCTTTGTTGCTTGTATGTCCCTCCCCCACAGTATAACCCCTGCTTTCACTACATTTGATGTCGGTATAATTTGTGGAGGATATGGGGAAAACAAGTCATTTAAGGATACAGGTGGACCCGTTGCAACTATGAGAAGTACAAGTTGTCATGTCGAAAACGAACTTTACATCTTTGGTGCAGAGCGGGGTTTGGGAGGATTTGGTGGGGGTGTTTGGGGAGGCTGGGAAGGGATGTGAAGGGTAAACAAAGGAGGAGGCTGCAATGGTTGACAAGAAATGTACTCATTATCTTGCCCATGTAATTATAACCCCTCTGTACAGTATGTTCAGAAAAAATTAAAATTAAAATTAAAAAAAGAAGTGAGAATGACTATACAATGTCCAAGAAAGATCAATCTGTTCCCACAACTTAAAATGTGAGGAGGCACTTCAAATCTAGAGAGATGAAATCAAGGAAAATGTATATCAGGGTAAAATTAATGTTTTACAGAAACATTTGGGGACACTTACGCTATTTAATTACAATTTAAATATAATTGAAGAACTGTTAATAAGAGTGAGAAGTAGTGTAAAAAATTTGATAAGATATTATAGTAGCCCAACTGTTACATTATCAATATTTGTAATAGTCATTGAGTGAAAATAATCTTAAATAAAAGAGACTGATGGATGCATAAACACCACCCGATTTGTAAGGAAATGGAAAGACTTGGAAAAAATCATATTAAGTAAGCCAGACCCAAAGAAATATAGGCTCCATGGTTTCCCTTATTTGAAATAATTAGTATATGTCTAGGATTATCTTAGCAAATGAGCAGAATAGCTCAATAGCTATGTTCAAGGTGAAGCTAAGTAAATTGTATTCCAGGATACAGGCAGAAGAGGTCTTTCTTTGTTGTTGTTTTTTAATGTACTATGTGATTTCATGCAAGTTTTATTTTTATATATATCCCCCTATTGTTATATCGCCTGTTGTCACTGTATTTGATGTTCATAACCTAGAAATGTTTATCTGAATTAGGGAAGGGAAGGGAAAAACAGAATGATGAGATAAAGGACAAAGTGGGAAGCAATACAACAGCAAAATACACAAGACGATATGTTGGAAATGATCTGTACAACTTGTGGGGGAAATCTTCAGGGGAGGCAAAGTAGCAGAAAATGAGGGAAAGGGTAACATGTTTGACAAGAAAAGTACTTATTACCTTATTTATTTAAATGTAAACCCTCTGTACATTACTTAGACAATAACAAAAGTATGAATAAAGAAGATAAAATCAGGAGGTGGTTATGGCCTGGAAAAAATAGAAAACAGCCTTTATGATACTAAATGCTGACATCTCAGGATTTCATCTAAGTGAAAAATTTCCTAAAAATCTTTGAACAAAATGAGGTTTATAGAAAGAATTAATGGTAATGTACATGTCTCACCAGATATGGAGCAATGTGTGAAGTGTCCAGATCATCAGTATGCCAACACACAGAGGACTCATTGCTTCTTGAGAGCTCCAAGTTTCCTGGCATTTGAAGATCCCTTGGGTATAGCTCTGGCCTGTATGTCCCTTTGCTTCAGCATCCTAACTGCTGCTGTTCTTGGGGTGTTTGCAAAACAACAAGACACTGCCATTGTCAAGGCCATAACCAGGCTCTCAGCTACATCTTGGTCATCTCTCTCATCTTCTGTTTCTTCTGTTCCTTGCTGTTTCTTGACCATCCCAATGCAGTCACATGCATCCTGCAGCAGATTACATTTGGGATTGTCACTGTGGCTGTTTCTACAGTGTTAAACAATACAGTGACTGTGGTTCTGTCCTTCAAGGCCACTTCTCCAGTGAAAAGGATGAGGTGGCTGCTGGTATCTGGGGCTCCTAACTTCATCATTCCCATCTGCACCCTCATCCAGGTGACCCTCTGTGGATTCTGCCTGGGAACCTCTTCTCCCTTTTTGGACACAGGTGCACACTCTGAACATGGCCATGTCATCATCCTGTGTAACAAGGCCTCCCTCTCTGCCTTCTCATGTATTCTGGGATATCTGAGCTCCTTGGCTCTGGCCAGCTTCACTATGGCTTTTCTGGACAGGAATCTGCCTGATGCCTTCAATGAAGCCAAGTTCCTGACCTTCAGCATGTTGGTATTCTGCAGTGTGTGGCTCACATTCCTGCCTGTCTATCACAGTGCCAAGGGGAAGGTCATGGTGGCTGTGGAGGTCTTCTCTATCTTGGCCTCCAGTGCTGGCCTACTGGGATGCATTTTTGCTCCAAAGTGTTACACCATCTTGTTAGTGCCAAATAGAAATTCTCTGCATGGCTTCAGGGTGAAATACAGTAGGAGAAATAAACATTCTTAAGATTATGCACATAGGTTTGATTAGTATACACAAGGTCTGATCTAAATCTACAGTAATTATGTCTTTTGTCACAGTTTATATTGTAGAATTTATACTTCAAAGACTAAGGATCTAATGTGCAGTTTCCTAACAGTGGTAGTCACAAGTGATGTTGATCACAATTTAAACTTGAGTTTTGCTTCTATGTTTTTGGTTGCTTCTATTTAATCTGCACTTATTCTGTTATACCCTCTTCTTAATATCCTTCACTCTTGTCTTTCTCAATAACTCTTCTAAAATTTTCAGTTTATTAACTTCTTGTCTGCACACCACCATGTTGCAGAGCTCTCCAATCTATTTCATTAATATTTTCTTCTTCACAAATTTACATCTTTTAATGTTGTATTTAGAGATTGTTTTATTCAATACTTGTATGTTTCCTCTCATACATTCACCTTTTGAAATTATCCTGAGTCTCATTAATGGAACTTTTCTCTCTGTCCTGGTCTTTCTTTCTCTTTGTCTCACTCTGTCTCTTTCTTTGTATTCCTCTTCCCTTTCACACTGTTTCTCTCATATAACTTAGGACTGAAATGTATATGTTACAAAAATTAAACCGCTATTGAAGATTACAATATATAAGATTTGTTGCATTTTTCCTAATATTAAAGTCCATTATTCATAATAGTAAGCCCCTTCTTGCCTGTATATCATTTATATTTTATGGTTGATTTATCACTATGCATTAGTTTGACCAAAGATTTTTGAATATTAATTATATAAGATTATTTCTTATAATATCATTTCTTACAATCTGTTCAAACATGAACATTTTAATTAATCATATTTCAGAACTCTTAATTTGATAAGGAAAGCATCATTTATTGGTTCAAATAGGTTGGCCTAGTCTATACCACACATTGTTTACAAAATCACATATTTAAGTGATATAGACACAATTGCACTCATTTCTTGTCTCTACTAGTGTTCGCTACATGTTTCTTCTCATATTAATTCAATTCATTTATGCATATGTTTACTCAGGGCCTATACTGTCCTTTAACTTTTTCACTCAATAATTCTTTACCACTTGAATCACAACTCCATTTCTAGCTGTTTGTCTTTTATTGAAAATCAGAGTCTCATACACTTTCTTCCACAGTTTGACTTCAAACAATTCTTATTTTTACATTTCTAATAAATAAATGTCTATGTAATGTACTATAACTTTGTATAATTTAAAATTTTAGTTTATAATATGACAATATTTGGCAAAAATATTGTGTGTATGTTTTTTTGTTGAGGGCATAATGTTTAACAAGAGAAAATGCAATTAATTTTCAACTTCCTCAGTATAGTAATCAAGATATCAAAATATTCATTAGTTCCTATTTATTTATTTTCACTATGTCCCTTATTCATTTAAGGCATTTCATTAATAAAATTTAATTTATACTATTGAGTAAAATACTGAATCCTCATTGTATGATGTGAAATTGTTGGGAGAATATGTGGTTTCAGTGAATTTGCATATTATTTTGTAGTCCTTGCTATTTTTTTAAGATTTCAGTTATCTTACACATTTTTCTCGTAAATGAAGAAATGAAAATATACACATGGATGGGTTGGCATATTGAAGTAAGATTGGATGAATGGGAAATAAGGAGAAAGTAAATGCATGTAAAAGAAAAGTTCATGAGTAAATAGGTAGAAGAACATAGGTAAGAAGGGAACAAGGAAAATATAGCCATATTTTATTACAATAAAACTTTATTAATATGAGGCAGGATGGATTCGGCCCTTGAGTCATGATTTACCTATCTTCTGATCTTCTGAGAGAGAAAGAGACAGAGACAGAGACACAGAGAGACACAGAGACACAGAGAGAGGGAGTGTGTGGTATTGGGAATCAAATGCCATGGTTTCATCTGATTCTTTGTTGCTTATAATGTTTTACATATAGTCTATCAAACAATGGGGATTTCATATTCATGAATGAAAATAAAATAATGGAGACCATGAGTATCATTTAAAATTTTAGAGGAAACAAAATGTACTGGATCTAAGGACATTTGGACAAAAGCCTTTATGTGCCCATATAAAACTAAGAAATGAAACCTATTTTAACCATATGCACGAATAAAAATTTAACGTAACACAAAAAATAAAATTCAAAAATCAATCTACTTAATGTTGGAAAAATAGGATCTCTTTTGTTGATTAGGACCAAACAAATATCTTAATTTATTAAGATAAAACACACTAAAGAAATGGGAAGACTTGGAAAAATCATATTAAATGAAGTGAGCCAGGCCCAAAGAAACATAGGTTCCATGGTTTCCCTTGTTTGTAGTGACTAGTACATGTCTAGGACAAGCAGAGTAGGTCAAAGGCTATGTACATACAACCATATGAAAAAATATTAAGCAAAATGTACCACAAGACAGGGACACAAGAGGTTTTTTCTTCTCTTTCTTGCTAGTGTTTTTAATGTACTTATAATACATTATGTGATTCTTTTGTTTCTATTGTATGTTCTTTCCCCATGGTATAACCCTGTTTTCACTGGATTGGATGCTGGTGCTCTGCACCTTGTGTGTGTGTGTGTGTGTGTATATATATATATATATATATATATACATATATATGTATATACATATATATGTATATATACATATATATATATATATATTTGTATTTGGGAGAAGGGAAGGGATATTGCAGAACACTTAAATGAAGATGCATGTTGACCCATTGTGACGACGAGATGTACAGGACACTATATTGAAAATGAACTTTAAAATGATGGGGTGTAGGGGGTAGCGAGAGGAGTTAGGGAGGTAGGGAGGGAAGTGATGGTAGGGGGAAATTAAAGGAAGAGCTAACAATGTTCACTATGAAATGTATTCATTACCCTACTCATGTAACTGTAACCCCTCTGTACAACATTTTTACAACAAAAATTAAGACAAAAGATTAACACTAAGAAACAGAGACACTAAAGATGAACCCAAAGCTGAGTTCATATATTCCTTCAAATGTTGGCTTTACAAAAACAAATCCCTAGGACTCAAAAATCTAAGAAAAGATCTTTAAATCCTTTACAATGAAAATTAAATCTATGATATAAGAAATTGGACAAGGAAATGGAAGAAAACATCTTTCATTCAGTTTCACAAAATTAACATTGTGAAAGTGGCTATATTCCCAAAAGCACACTGTACATTCAATGTTGCCCCACTGAAAATTATGGTGCATTATTGCTAGAATAGAATACTAAGCCAAAAATCAGTGGCAAATTCTGATAACCCTAGTTGAGAATATGAAGATTATTTTCTGAATATAGGCTGGGAAAAATGTTTCTGAGATGTCTTACCTGGGTGGGGTCTCAGATATATGTCCTCCTCAGCTATATAAGAGGTGGAGATTGAGGAAATCAGAATTCAGGTGCAGTCCTATGTGGATGTTAGTCACAACAGAGTTGCATTCCTATAATCACAGTGGAAATGTAAAAAAAGGACTGCAGTCCATTTCATTGCCTTCTAGGAAGTGAAATGCTATCACAAAATACAGATTGATCTGGGTGTTGGTGATCCATGCCTGTAATTCTAGTAGCTCAGTACTCTGAGATCTGAACATTACAGTTCAAGGTCAGTTCCAGCACTGACCTTGAGTTATTGACATGGAATTGCTAAATGAAACAAGCATGCTTCCTCAGGCAACGTAAATGGTTGCATTTCTGGAGGCCTCTGCACTTGTATTTCTTACTGAAACCTACCCCTACAACTACCAATGTTCTATGGCTGTTATGAACATTTTTGTGTGTGTGTGTGAATTGTTCCATTGTGTATGATTATCTCCTTTGTAACTTTAATTAATCTCACAGAAATAAACATTTTCTGGACATTTCATCATGCATAGGCCATGGCATCCTCTGAAGCAATCAAGTTACATCATCCCAAATGGCTTTCATGAAAATAGTTTCTTGACACAGATGTTGGACACAAAATCTTCCATAACTTCCTCTCTGGGGCTTCACTGTCTGTGACTTGGATGAAAGCATAACTCCTGGGGTGAAGAAGGCAAATACAGAAACATGTTTTCCAATTCATGTTTTTCCCTGGATGGAGGCCACAGATGTAGAGCCCCAGTGAATATTTTACACATTACCTCTGGGGATTCACAAGATGCTTTGATGAAAGGAGACCTATAGTATAGATCTCTATCAATAAAAAGACACATAGGCACATATAAAAAGACATACAAATATACATGCCTGAAATGTAGGCCTTACTTTCAGCCAGAATTTCCACACTGCAGATGCTTCAGGGATGTACCTTTTGACTTTCATCTCCTTCTTCCCAGCTTCCCCTCCTTGCCAGGTCCTTGGCTGGTACTAGCTGCTTTTCTTTTCTTTTCTCTTTTCTTCTCTTTTTTATTGTGAAAATACCGTATAGAGGGGTTACAATTACATGGGCAAGATACTGAGTACATTGCTTATCACTCATTGTTGCCTCCTCCTTTGTTTCCCCTTTCCATCCCTTGCCATCCTCCCCCCCCCCCACACCCTGTGAGCCAAAGTTGTAAAGTTCGTTTTTCAACATAACGACTTCTATTTCTCATTGTTGTAATGGGTCCAGCTCTATCCCTATTTGAATGATTTGTTTTTTCCCTTCCCCTCCACAAATTATACCAAAATCAAACACAGTCAAAGCAGGGGTTATATCGTGGGGGACAGGCATACAAAGCAACAAAGAAATCAATAATCTTATAAATGTGTTAGAAACGATCGCAAGAAAGAAAAGTAAAACATTTGAATACTTACCTTGGGGTTCATTTCATGTAACATCAACTTATCTGAACTTTTTTTTTGTTGCAGACATATAGTAATTATTGCAAATAAGGGAAATCATGGGACCTATGTTTCTTTGGGCCTGGCTTACTTCACTTAATACAATTTTTTCTAAGCCTTTCCATTTCCTAACAAATGGGGAAATGTCATCATTTCTCAGGGTGGCATA